TTAGTAGTAGTAGTAGTAGTAGTAGTAGTAGTAGTAGTAGTAGTAGTAGTAGTAGTAGTAGTAGTAGTAGTAGTAGTAGTAGTAGTAGTATTTTATTGTTATTATTATCGTCATCATTATCACTCAGTACAAACAAAACCTTAGATAAGGCAAGTATGATGTAAAACGAATTGCTTCAATAAATGAGGTAAATAAAACTTTATCACAAAGTCATCATAGCATTTATCATTATCGTGTTATTACCAGCGTTATCAACGATTACTCGTTATTATCAACATCATTGTCGCTGCGCTATTCTCTTCTATCTCTTCTACATTTGCTTCTTTCCCTGTTACATCTCAGTCTTCGCAAGTTATGCTGAAGTTACAATACGTATTATTTTCATACTATTACTATCATTCACACAACATGCACATGACGATTTTAAATGAGATATAAAGAAACAGAAATGGAAGCACACACATTGTTTATTCGAAAACTTCAAGTGAATCTTAGCTTATCAAATATCGGGGGAAGATCCAGGACACAGGGGCAACTCACTTTACCCTGTGGTTTTCACTGTCAACATTGCCAACTATATAACACAGATCATATACTGTGGTTCTTCTCTCCTCCCCTTGTTTTAGAAATGGACCTTTCCGGAGTATCAAACTTAACAACTGACCAATCAAGACACAAGATACTTTCTTGTCTGAACTAATTCTGTATTAGTTCAGACAATAAGGTATCTTGTGTCTTGTATCATCAGAACAGAGGGCCAAAATTTATACGTACTTGACTACAAACGCTCAATCGTCTTACGGGACCTTAGTAACAGTATCTAAGGGAGGGGCTTAGGGAAAGGTCTATTCCGGAGTCACCATTTGTCTTCACATAATACTTAATTTAAATAAACTACAAAAAAGGTTTTTTTTTTTTACCTTGTTCAGTAGATGAACCACGTCATATATAATGTATAGATCATACATGTAAAGTAGTACGGTAATCGAAGATCAACATGAATAATGGTGATGGTAAATGACAGAGTTGATGTTGATGATGATAATACTATTATTAAATACCGTATTCCATAATCTTAACAATAATAAAATTATAATAATAATATTTATTATTACGATGATAATCATGGTGATGGTATAAGAAAATGATGATGCTGATGGTGACGACTACGATGATGATAACGATGATGATGATAATGATGACAGTGGTAGTGTTGGTTTTGAGGATAATGTAGGTGATGATGATGGTGATGATGGGAATTGCGATGACAATAGTAGTGGTGGTGGTGGCGCTGCAATGATAGGTGGTGGTGAGAATAGTGATGAAGATGGTCATGGTGGCGTTCTGAGGATGATGACGAGGATGATAAAGATGATCATAATTGTGATTGCCATCATGTGAACACCAACGGTAGTGAATATGATGATTAATGTATGTACATTGGTGTTAGATGTGTTTATATGTGACATATCTGTACCTATTACACTTGCATCTTGGTATTATATAAATGTTATATAAGTACACATGCAGTTTCACGACAAATGTGTATGATGCATACATACATGTTTCGATACATTATCGTTATTCAATTAGATAATGAATACAAAAGTTCACATTAGGAACGCTGTAAAATCTGAGTAGTCTATAAAATTCCTAGTTTCATTTACTACAATAAATATAAATAGGCCTATATAAATATAAGCTACCTTCGAAAAAATGTGTATAAGAGACAGAGTGGGAACCGGCCTTCATCGTCACGGGCGGCCTAGGCGCGCTAGGAATATTACCACAATTATTACGCCTCGTCATTGATTCCATATTGACAAACAGGAGAAAAGTACAAACTTATCCACTGGCGTATATATCGTCCTCGTGAGAGTACACACGTATAGGAAGTGCACTGCCATTACAAGGACGCAGGCGAAATGCAAAGCGTGGAGTTTGAAACCCCTCCCTCCTCTTTAAGGTGGATTAATGGATTATGAGAATAATTCGGACAAATTTTCCCATGGATTGATCATCATCAGGACTTTGTATTTGAAATTTATCATCTCAACCTCCCTACAGCTCTATTCCGAATTTATATTTTACATACATAATAACGATATTTTATAATATAGAAATATGTATATAAATATAATCATTCAAGTTTAAGTTTTAATAAATAAATAAATAAATAAATACATATATAAATAAATATAATGTCTAGGATAACTTACATACCGGTATTTCCTTTCTATACCATCTCTTATAATAAAATATAACAACATCTGTATAAAAGATAAATAATTTATAGGCCTATTTATAATATAAATCTATTATACCACAAGTACTTGGCATACCTGTAAGTATATAAAGGCTATGGTGTTAAATAGACTGGATTGCACGTTTCAACAAAGAGTATAGATAGAACTATAACAAAAAATATAAATATATATGAAACTGTACTCTTTGGTTACACTCACTATCTAACAAAAGGTAGAAAAATACCCAGTAACAATTCGTTAAAATACATGCGAATCGGTTAGTTGAACGGCTGCCGTTTCTCATGCTGTGTGAATTATGCGTTATATCTTGGCAATATTCTAGTGACGCAGGCTAATGGTAGGGTTTCTACATCGTAATAGTACCTGAAAAAAGTCAACAGGAAAATTATTAGAACTATGCTGAGTTTGAATTAAGACATCATAAATTTCACAACAAAGCACGCCAAACCTGGCCAAGAAATAAAAAGCAAAAATCTCAAACGTATATAGATCTACATATAAAAGTGAGGTTCAGCAGTAGCTTTGATGGGACATTTTATTACCACATAGTGCGATATATATATATATATATATATATATATATATATATATATATAGGTTACAATGCTTAGATAATTTCGTTTTATTGTTTTGTCTTTTCATTGATAGGTTACCTTTCTATTTAATCTGAAGACGAGTTATGAAGTATTAGAAAAATAAAAACAAAGTATGCCTATTATTTAACAGGATGACCAACTTACTCATAAACACCGTCTACACAACCCCCTATGCGAAGTACAGGTACGTCGTAGACCACGTGATCGCAAACATAGTCACTAGAAAAGGTCGCAGTGTTTCCATTCATAGTTATGCCAGTACGGCAGTTGCATTGATAGTATTTCAATGTTCTTGGATATCTGGAAAGAAAACATTTGAAAGTTCTTGAAACAATATACAGGTGATTAACGCTATCCAATATTCTTTTGTAAATATTCCACTAATTAATAGAGTTAGTCAGTAAGGAATTTACTGACTTTTCACGTTCCTTCCATATTTGAAAAACAAATGGTATATATATATACATTGTGTCACAACAGGAAAACAGGAACCATACTTGTATTCCAGAGCAAGGTAATCAAAAGCTAAAATGTAATAGACCTATGCACAGATAAGCCGATGCTCGTTAAAATGGTCTAGTACTCATATGAGGTGGATTTAAGCCGTGAAGGTCTATAGTAGCCCGTATATTATGTGAATACAAATAGGAATGCAGATCTGTAGCCGATATCATGTTGGCTTTTTATAGGGTAAAGGTAATAGCAATAGCAAACTTCGGGTACAGTGTATACGTATATATATATAGGCTATATATATATACATATACATATATATATATATCCTATATATACATACATACATACATATATATATATATATATATATATATATATATATATATATATATATTACAATACATATAGGAACCGTGCGTGCGTTTAAATTGGTGTATGTCAAAGAGCATAAGGAACCAATAAACACGAGATTTCGTGTACATATTGGTAGTGTTAGTAGGCTACATTTCGCGAGGATAGGATCTGATGTGAAAACGGAAAATTATATGCAGTTTTTGATGTAACTCACCTCATGTAATCTACATGCGTCTTCTCGTCGAAAGGACACGTAGAGCGAAACCTTAACAATTTTTGAGTATTAAAATTATCCAATACTGTCTGAGGGCATGTCTGATTGACCGGGTATGTGTATGTGTAATTGTACCCACTGCTAGCCTGTTGACTGCCACTCGAAGTCTCGCGACTCAAGCGAAATAAAAGTTGATCGTCTGGCAGCTGTTTGCATTCAGTCGCTTGATCTTCCTCTGCAGTCACTGTGGTGCCAATTCCATCGGCTCCAGTCGATGTCTGAACGCTTCTTTCCAGTGATAACAATGTTGCGTCTTCGTTGGAAGCGTCTCTCTTTTCAGACGTTCGTAGCCCTGTTGTCAGAGAAAGAAGGCCTAGCACATCCACTGCTGGTTTTGTTGCAATTGTGTCTGTGTGTCGCTCGGTTGTCACTTCGTTGCGTTCAATGTTAATGGCTTTACTAGTTGCACTCGTTTCCTTTTGCTTAATAACGAATGCTGAACATTCGACCGAAAATAAGATTAACGTCGCTAAAACCGCACATAACATTCTGAATACCTAAAGAAAAATATGAAAAAATGTAATAATTAATGTATAAACTTTCAACTGCGACACAGTATGTAGTTCCTCCATTGTGATAAGAATAATTAATAAATAATAGTATAATGTAATAATAATATAGACCTAATAATTATAATACTATATTAAATGATAATAATAAAAATAAAAATAATAATGATTTTATTGGATATCTTAATAATAATAGGAATTACGAAAATAATAGGTAAAAATGAAATATAACTGCAAAAAAAAAAAATAAAAAAAAACTACAAAAAAAAAAAAAAAAAAACTAAAAAAAATGACAGATTGCGATTGAGATAACAAATTTATATAAGAAACTAAAACGAATGTAAAGTAAATAGGAAAGATTTTCAAAATATATGCAGTGTAATAATAATACAAGTTATTGTAGCTATAATTTTAAAAAATACCTTAAATTGCTGGCGAGATGTGGATGTATTTGTCCAACTCATCTTATAAAGCTTAGGCCTATGTTAGTCTACTATATCCCGATAAGAAACTGTTTATGCCCACATGGCCATTAAAAGTCCCCTTATATATGACATTTTTTGGAAAATCCTATCAGCCAAAAATACAAATGACAGATCTTAAATATATTTGACCTCAATGAAATTCACGTTACCGGATTTGCTTTAATGACATCATCTTTTGTATTACATCATATGAATAGTATGTCCCAAGTATAACGTAGGCCTATGTAAACTATGCAGACAAGGGAGGGATGTAACACTTGGTCACCGAGCCAATGCTACCAAAAACATTGATAGCAGAATAGGTTATTAAATGAAATTAAAAGCATTTTGTCAATATAAATCGGTATAATGGAAATGAACAACTTATTTAAAGAGCTACACGGATGTGTCCTGTATACCCATAACAAGTTTTCAGCTTTGAAAAAGGTGGGGAAAAAAGAGGGAAATTCCCTAATTGTTGGTGGCGCTGTACAGAAAAACACTCGATTGGTTTTTAGCAAAGGTTATAAATTCAAATGAGCGTATTTATTTGTGTCATGTTTATCATGATGTAACTAGGCTATTAATTTTATTGTTAATTGTTACAATTTATTATTTTTAAAATTAAGAGTTATAAACTTAAACTAACGAACACATTTATGATAAATAAATAGTATTACTGTCTACTCTATTAAGTCTTATGTGACAAATATGTATTTGCCTATATATTATGACAGTTATTTTTGCTAAAGTCCCACAAATCGAAAAAAAGTCGTGCGTTTGTTAAACAATACGTGTAGACTACTCATTGGGCAGTTCAAGAGCGCATTGCTGGCCCTAATCTGATTGGTCACTTGTTAAGTGTAATTGTGAACAAAACATCATTATATATATATATTTTTTTTCAATTGAAAGCATATCATAGGCTCATAGGCTTATGTTTAATTTCCTTTTAAAAGTTTAGTTTAGTATTACAGATAGTATATCTTTCTTATTAAAATGATTTCCAAAAGAAAAGTTGATCGCTAATCTCACAGTACAGTGTGCATTATACAATTAAAGTAAAGTAAAATACAAGTTCTGCTAAACAACATGATATTCTGGACATATCGTTTACGGCCTACTTACCATAATGTTAGATTCACAAAATCGTTTTCAGGTGAAATACTTGTGTATAAGTTACACTTCGAAGTCTCTCTTATTGAATACTCGATTTTTGTTTGACTCTGCTATTTATACTATTTGGCAGGAAACACACGGCATAATTATGTGTTAAATATATTGACGTCATAGTAGGTCTAATTACAAAAAAAACTATATTTCCTTCAGTAGAAATCCGTATAAAACCACAGAGTACTATTACCGCACTTTGGTTACATAATTTTAGGAAAAGCTGCAGTAGGTATGGATGTGTTTCTTTTTAAATCATATTCTCAATAGTCAGATTATTTTCCCTGATTCAGATATTAGAATATAGTGTAATGAGCATAATAACATTAAGAGTTTGCACTTAAAAACCACAAGAGTTTCCTGACAAAATTTGCATTAAAGTAACGCCGTATTTAACACCACCAATTCTCTATATTATATAGATTGTTATCATATTTGTTATATAAATTTGTTATATAATTAAATTATATTATTTATTATAAATAACAATTTTTTTCTCAATTTAATTTAACATATTTCGTTTTGTAAACATGAAAAACATATGAAATTGATAGGGATTAGGCCCATACAAAGTAACTTACGCATTAAACATTTGCAGATTAGTCAAGTCAATCTAGATGGAAACTATAATTACAATGTAGCAGTCACCATTTATAAAGCAATATATGGTCTCACGCCTCTTAGTAAACATTTAGATGACAGAAATACATGTTACAATTTAACAACAAATGATAATCTCTATATATGGAAGCCAACTTTGAAATACAAAAGGAACAGTTTTTCTTATTATGGTATTAAATTGTGGAATGATTTGGATCAAGATATTTCATCCTATTTTTTAAACAGGCTACATTTTCTGTCATTCGTTCGTTTAAATGCCAAACTCTTAATTGCCCATCAACCCTAATGTAAATTGCAACTGCATTTATGACAATAATATTTTTATTGTGATGTTTTACCAGTTTATTTCAAATTAAATTTTAATGTGTATTGCATATTATACTTAGTACGACGGTGTAAAAGTCAACTCAGACAGCGTCGTACGACGCAGCCCGACGCGATTCATCGTCGGGGACAGTCTTAAGCCGTCGTAGGAGAAATATTAAACATGTTTAATATTCTACTACCCCTTTCAGACAAAAAATAACCGCAATAATACCCTAATCACGCCGTCGTTATTGCCAGCGCAGACCCTTTCACACAGCTAGTTAAAATCCGGTAATAATACCGCATCCTGTCTGAAAGGGTTCTCGCGGAAAGGAGTATTGCCCCCGACGCATACCATCGCGACTGCGTTTAACTCACACAGACCCAACGCGACAACAAATCGTCGAGCTGGCCTTTACTTGTATTGTGATTCATTTTTTTGTATTCTGATGTTTTTATTTATTGTTTTCATTCAAATTAAATTTTAATGTGTACCGTATTTATTATAGTTTTAATTCAAATAAAAAAAAAATATTTTTAATGTGTATTTATTATAGTTTTAATTGCATTTATATCTAATACGATAGTGTTACTTTTACTGTGATCTACAAAAAATATATAGGCCTAAGATGTTATAACTCTAATTAAGTATTTATTCAAATTAAATTTTAATGTAAAATAATATTATAGTTTTAATTGCATTTCATATTTAGTACGATAGTGTTACTTTTATCGTGATCTACAAGTTTATAATGTGTAGTTTATATTTAGATTTAAGTACTTAATTAATTTAAAGATACGGCCTTGCTAAAAAACAACTTTTTAATTTCTGTTGAGTCAATGTTTATCATGAATAAAGAATAAAGTTATTATTATTATTATTATTATTATTATTATTATTATTATTACAAATGTACTCCGATTGGGTTTTTATTATTATTATTATTATTATTATTATTATTATTATTATTATTATTATTATTATTATTATTCTTTCTTTAGGCACACAACACATGTGCCAAGGATTGGCAATAGCGAATATATATCACTGTCCTACTTGTAGGAGACAATCCCTTACACAAGACAAACATACACACACGATGCTTTACACAAACTAAATCTCAATATGAGATTGAGGGAGTGGAGTTGTTTACATTACAAATGAAAAGAAAAAGAAAAGTATATTACGACAGACACCAGAAGAAAGCTTCTTTAAATGTACGGTAGTACTTTTAGTGGCCAATCAAGAGCGGAGCTCGAGTACCTCCTTTTATGATGTTTATTGTATGCAATTTATATAATAATGGAAGAACAATAAACTAAAACAACTGAAATGATATAAGCATTATCTGTTAAATGGTTACTATGATTATATAATTATATAATAATATTATAATTATATAATAATATATTTATAATTATATAATAATAATATTAATAGTGATATGAATATTGATAATGATAATACGATGATGAGGTTAATAATGATGATTACTATGATAATGATTATAATGATGGTGGTGGTGATGATCAGACGGTGATGATGACAGTGATAATGATAAAAAAGAAGATGATGATGATGATTCATTCTTACCATCAATAACTAAATGCTTAAAATTGGACTTCATTTCGAACTGTTATGACGGTTCGATTTATTACCCGTTTGGTGATAAACTATCAATATTTTTACATGTTTTTGTTGACGGTTACACAAATAATCACAAAAAAAAACATGTTGCAGACTTCAGAAACGCCGTATTTAAACTGTTTCGATATGTATTGTATACAAATATAAATATAATAATTTGAAAAAAAAAATCGATTCCCAGACTCTCGGATTATCGTTCGGATGTTCTACCAGTAGCTGAGTTACGAGGCCAAACTGGTGTTGTTCCATGGATTTTCCCTACAGAACACATTTTACCTCAAAGTAATGCATTCCAAGTAGAGCAGCCCTATGTCTATGTATCACAAATGGTGAGACCAGGTAACAGATAAGAGGTATTTCCCTAACAAACATACTTTGATGTATTCTGGTTAATGAACTCCCTTGGCACAAACATCAAAACCGCGAAACAAACGGGAAATGTTAAATGTGGTGTTTTATTTAGTAAGTGTAAAAATCGATTTAAAGAATTATGAAGCAATGTGATATTTATTGATTAATCAGCATTTTCTTTGACATCTATAAATGCATATAAAAAATGCACATAACCAGTATTTGAATAAAGGTAAATAATAATTATTATCGCGTATCTAGGGGACTCAAGTCGCACCCCCACCCCCAAAAAAATCACGGTTCTCATTTAGAACAACGTGCACGCCACCCGCATGCGTGGCTCAGGATAGGAAGGAAGATTAAAACAAGAAGTATGTTTCAGATTCAGAAGACACAGAATGGGCTCTAATCTAATGCATAGGCCTATTGTATTTAATTTAAAACTTAACATTTTACAATATGCATTTTGAGCGTGTGCGCCGGCTAGTTTTTCGTGATATGCCTACGTGTACCATATAAGTTATTTTTCTGCATGTCCTGCATGCAGTTATATCATAAGTTTATTTATAAGTTATTTTATGGTTACACAATTGAAACAATTCAAGCAGGTTAATTGACGTGGGCAGTTTCTCAAATATAGATTAAGTAAACATAGATACAGGTGCGTGCGTCAACAATATTTCAAAAAACAAAATCAAAACAAAATAGTCAAAGAAAAATAATTCAACAAACTCTCATCCAAGCTCACTCTGCGATTGCACATGGGGTTTAAGCTATCGAGAAAACTAAATGCAGATGAGTATCTAGGAGTGAGCGAGGTGAACCACAAAAAATGGGGGGAAAAACCCCCAAAAACCAAAAAAAAAAACCCCACAAAAACCACAAAAAAAACCAAAAAACAAACTTGCCCCTGTTTCCACCCCACCCTTTCCACTGGCAATTTTCAAATACAAAATTAAGCTCAAGTAGTTAAAAACCACCACA